TATCTTCCTGGCTTTTTTTTTCTTTTTATCTTCCTGGCTTTTTTTTTTCTTTTTCTCTTATGCAGTCTTTTATATTTGAGACCTCTTAATTGGATTAAGGTGTTGAAGAACCTGAAGAATTTTTCCTTTTTTTAAAGCTTTTTATTCTTCACTTTCCCGTCTTTTTTAAGATTTTACAACTTTTTCTCCTTTGTATATGTTTATGGTTTTTTCCTTCATTTTTGAATTTTCATTGTTATTTAACTAATCGATTGGATTAAGGTATACAAGAACCTGAAGAAATTCTTTTTTCTTTTTTTATTATTATTACTATTTGGCTTCTTTTTTCCTACTATTTTTATTTGGAATCGCAATTGGTTACTTTACAATCGGATTAAGGTCTAGAAGAACCTGAAGATTTTGAATTGTTTGAAATGAGTAGGAAATTAACAGCTACCGGTTCTTCAACTTCTACTTCCTCCTCTCCATCATCTGGAGGACAACGTTTAATACAGACAATGTTAAGGCAAGAGAAAGAACAAGAACAAGAAAAAGAAAAAGTGACCCTGCAGATGATTATGCAAGGAATTCAAAACATTCAAACAAGATCAGACAATATTGAAAAGAGAATAGAGAACATTGAACAAAGAGCAGGGAAAACCGATGAAAAAGTCGAGAACATCCAACAAATGATGATGAAGTATGATGAGAGACTACTAAAAATTGAAGAAGAAGATAAACAAAGAGATAAGAAGATTGGAGACATTGATACCAGATTAACTGTGGTTGAACAAGATAAAAATGGTATGCTGAGATGGGAGATGGACAGATCAGAATTTTATCTCAGATTCCAAAACAGAGGAAGAAAAAGGACAAAATCTAGCTGAGATAATGATAGAAATATTGGCTGAAGCTTTGGAAATAACGGATGAGAAGATGATGGATGGAATAGATGAGGTTTATCAAGTCTTCACAAGATACGCAATGAGAAATAGCCTACAAAGAGAAATTCACATCAGATTTACAAAGAAAGCCATTAAAACGCAAATATTGCAAGTGGCAAGAGAGAAAACATTGAAAAATAAAGATAAGGAGATTGTGGTTTTGAAACAAGTACCCAGAAGAGTGAGAGAGATGAGAAGAGAATACCGATTCTTGACCAAATTCCTACTTAAAAAAGAGGTGAATTATAGATGGCTGATTCCAGAAGGTTTAATGTTCACATGGCAAGAGATACAGAATTGATTCATTTGAGAAAGCTGAATCATTTTATACAGAATTTTTCAGAGGGAAAGAGGAAGAGGCAGAAAAACAAATTTCACTAATTGAATTCCAAGAGGACTGCCAAATGACGACTGAAAAAGAGGAAGGTGCAGTAGGTGGAAAGGAGGAAGCCAAAGGTCAATGTGAACCACGATCCACAAGAGCTGCCAATCCTAATTATAAAATATAACCATGGAAGAGAAAAAAATGATTACAATTAATATAAATGGACTTAATTCAGCCGTTAAAAGAAGGAAAACTTTCCATAAATTAGAGAAATTAAAATTTGATATAATCTGCCTACAAGAAGTACATATTATAAAGCAATATGAACAATTGTTGATACAGCCAAAACTATGGAAAATATTTACCTCCTTGACACAATGCAAGAAAAGAGGAGTGGTTTTATATATTAAAGAGACTATTCCAGCGAAATTGATTTATACTGATGACGACGGAAGAATACTAATGGTGGAAATAATGGATAATAATACAAAAACACTCCTGATTGCAATCTATGCCCCGAATGATAAACAAGAAGAATTTTATAAAAAATTACATATCAAAATAATTGAACTGGACTATGCTAATATAGTTATGATGGGAGATTTTAATGGAATTGTAGACAACAAACTGGACTATACAGCACAGAAAACAATAAAGCAAAACAGAAAGACTCTCCCTAAATCTTTTTTTTTAATAAGGTAGATGAAATAAATTTAAAAGATACATGGAGAGAAAGAAATGCTAAAACTAAACAATATACCTTCTACTCAAATAGACAATTATCATGATCCAGAATAGATATGATATGGCCCAGCTGGATGTTATGTGCCCACCTGGCCACACCCACCAGGTACCCCCCACCTGGCCACATCTATGTGGTTGTGTCAACCTGGCCACGCCCACTCAGCCACCCCAAGTCATTGACTCCCAGCCAGCTGCACCTAATTCTCCGTGTTGACCTGACCAGTCTACGAACCACTCAGCCAGGGGTGGGATTCAAAAATTTTAACAACCGGTTCTGTGGGCATGGCTTAGTTGGTGGGTGTGGCTTGGTAGTCATGTGACTGGGTGGACATGGCTTGGTGTTCATGTTATTGGCTCGGTGTGGCCAACTCAATATCACTCACACTGAGGCATGCATCTCCTCTCCTGGCCTCTCATGACTGGGGATGCTGCAACAGTCGTAAATGTGAAAAATGGTCATAAGCCACTTTTTTCAGTGCCATTGTAACTTTGAAAGGTCACTCCACACAAGCAAAGTACCAGCAAAGGAGGGGAAAATAACTCCAGAGAAGTTCCAGAGACAGGAAGTCTAGTCTTGACAAGAATGTGATAAGGGTTAACGGAGAGGCAGTTTCTGTAAGCCAGGGGTCCCCAATCACTTTGCACCGGGACGCAAAGAAAATAAAAATAAAAAATAAAATAAAAATGGTGGCTTTCTTCGCCTTCGGTGAATGCTGCTGGGATCAGGGATCAAGGACACAAATGAAAGAAGGGGAGGGAGGAAGCAACCAAAGCCTGTCCTACTCTCTGGCTCAGTGGCTTCGGTTTCCTCCCGCCTCGTTCCTCTCTCAGTCGCTCTCTCGCTCCTCCACCAGCCCAGGAAGAAACTGCTTCAAAGAAGCCTGCAGGGTGGCTTTTCCTGTCTGCGCAGCTCCTCCGAAGCGCCCGTTCACGCCCACCTCACCGCCAATCAATCCAGGTTCAATCCAGTGCTCCATTCTGCCTGCCTGCCTGCCTTTGTTTCTGGTTGTTTCGGAGCAGCTTCGGCTGAGAATAATAACTATTTGCCTCTTTTACTCAGCCGAAGCTGCTCCGAAACAACCAGAAACGAAGGCAGGCAGAACGGAGCACTGGATTGAACCGCGGGCGGCGGGGTGGGGGTGAACGGGCGCTTTGGAGGAGCTGCGCCAACAGGAAAAGCCACCCTGCCGGCTTCTTTGAAGCAGTTTCTTCCTGGGCTGGTGGAGGAGCGAGAGAGCGACTGAGAGAGGAACGAGGCAGACACCTGAGGGATGAGGCTGAGGGAGGGAGGGAGACACCTGAGGGATGAGGCTGAGGGAGGGAGGGAGACACCTGAGGGATGAGGCTGAGGGAGGCAGGGCCGAGAGGCAGGGCTTCTCAGCCGTTCTGCAGGGACTTGTCCTGAGCCACGGAGACAGCCGTGGGCCGCCGCCGCCCAGCGCTCAGTTTTGAAGGCGCTCCTCAGCCAGGCGCAGTTCCTGAATCTGCAGCTGAAACCCTCTGTTTTAAATGTCCCAATAGAAGAGAATATCTGTCGCTCAGGGTTGCAATGAGGAGGCATTGGCGCTCCCTGAACTTGGTGGTTTGCTGGCAGACATTTTATTACCCGACTAGGTAACAAGATGTTACCTAGTCAGGTAATGAAACGTCTGCAAGCAAACCACCAAACTCGGACTCCCCCCCCCCCCCCCCCCCCCCCCCCCCCAAACACTTTCCGCGTGAAACTGGTCCCTGGTACAAAAAAGGTTGGGGACCACTGCTGTAAGCAACACCAGAATGTTTCCTTCCTGCCTTCCTTACAGGATTAGGCCAGTAATTTCTTCTAACACCCGGTTCTCTGAACTGCTTAGAATGTTAACAACTGGTTCTAGCGAATAGGTACGAACTGGTAGAATCCCACCCCTGCACTCAGCCATGATGTGCCCACCCAGTTACACCCACCTGGCTTCAGTGAGTCATCATAGACCCCAGTGAATTAGTTGTCAGCATTTTAGTCCAATTAAATAGAATGTCATTCTTAAATGTTACAATTAGAACTGTAGTTGTAATAATTTGATTGTATGTTCACATGACTTTTCAAATGTGACACAAGGATTAAGATACTGAATTTTGATTGATTACATACCATCAAGTGGTTGTTGACTATTAGTGATCACATAGATGTATTTTCTCCAGGGGGGTCTGTCCATAATCAGGTCTTTCAGGTCTTCCAATGGTGCCAATCAAGGAGAGAGCCAACCTAGAACTAAAGAGAAACTTTCTGACAGTGAGAAAAATTTATCAATGGATTGGCTTACCTCCAGAAGTTGTGGGCGCTCCATCTGTGGAGCTTTGTAAGAAGAGATTGGACAACCATTTCTACAGAATAGCAATAGCCCTTAGACTTATATACTGCTTCACAGTGCTTTACAGCCCTCTCTAAGTGGTTTACAGAGTTAGCATATGGCCACCAACCATCTGGGTCCTCATTTTACTGATCTGGGAATGATGGAAGGCTGAGTCAACCATGAGTTGGTCAGGATTGAACTTCTGGAGTGAGCAGTGAGTTAGCCTGCAGTTCTGCATTCTAACCACTGCACCACCACAGCTCAATATAGAATAATATAGATTCTCCTGTTTGAGCAGGAGGTTGGACTGGAAGACCTCCAAAGTCCCTTCCAACCATTTTACTCTGTTCTGTTCTTCTGTGCACTCATCATTGCTATAACTGATTATTCCCCCCAGCTGCAGGTCATCCTCCTTTTCTGTTTCCTTCCTCCTTTCCCAGCCTTAGAACCTTGTCTAGAGTAAATGGCTTTCACATAATATATTTGAAGTAGGACAACTTGCCTTAAATGAGGACACTGGTTTGATTTGTTCAAAACTGTTTGTTTGTTCATTTGTTTTCTTGGCTGTTTATGGTATTCTCAGGAGTCTTCTCCAAACCCAGAGTTCAAGAGCATCAATATTCTTTTTGTCCCACTTCTTCAAAATATGACTTTCACTTCCATAGAGCGTCACGGCCTTTGTAGTTGTAGACATATCATATCATTTGACTATCTTTTCCAAGACCTTCCTGGTCATTGGACCAAGTGTTAGTCTGCAGCAGCATATTCCTTGATTGCTTGTCCTTTACAATTGAAGATGGATCATTATAGGTTTACAGCAGTTTCCTTTGGTGATACTCACTTGTGTGAGCATGTTGGTTATGCAGCAGCTATCTTATAAGTTCATTTCGCTCACTTTTTCTGGAGATTGGTAGGGCATTTTGAAATCTGACTGAGAAATAGCAAAGGGAATTCTAGAGAAACACACTGGCTTGTCATAAACGAGGCAGGTCACATGGTGCTGACAAGGACTTGAGCCTGAGGAAAGTGACGGAGCGTTGCGAACATGCTTGACACACCTCTAGCTGGGATTTCCAGATCCAAGTCTGATTTTCTGTGAAATATGGCCCTCAAGCCTCAAAAACCTGAACTACTGGGAAAATATCAAGGCCCTCTTGAGACTTCCAGCAGCTTCACTTTTAATGTACTGTGTGAAGTTTTAGAAACCTACATCCTCAGATAACTAATAACAAGATGATGAGACTTTTTCAAAATTATACCTGTGTTATTCTCTGTATCTCCATTGTGGATTAGAATTTTTAAAAGATCTTTTTATTGATTTGTTTTTCTGATTAACTAGATGCCTCACACCTCCACTACATGTGGCTAGCACCACTGTGAATTTTGGACGTTGTTTCCTGAATTTTCAGTATCAACAAGTGGCAAAACTTGTTAATGAAGCTGACCTTCCAGGGTGCTATGGTGTTCTTTCCCAGGTTGGTTGGATTTTTGACTTTTCTCTTTCCTATTTGAATGCTTCTGGAGGGGACTTTTCCTTCATATTGATGGTCTTGTACAGGAGGATGAAACTGCAACATCCGTAGGGGCAAGGTGGATTTAACAACGTGCCTATAGAAAAGAGGAGAGAAATGTTTTAGCCCAGTTCATTTCTTGAACTGTACTCTTGTTTACATTTTATTTAAGGATGTTTGGATAAGTTCTTGTTTTGTTGCTTTTATGCTATTGAGAACAACTGCTGAAAAGTTTGCTGAAATAAATTTTCAGAGCTCTATCATGAATGATAAAATACATAAACAAAACACATGGATTTTATTGGGGAAGACAGATGGTGATGGCATAGAAACAGAAAGACTTCAAGCAGGTAATTCTTACTGCTTTATCTCCACCTAGGAATATAAGAACTCTCCCACCATCTTGTATTCAAGTCCAGCGCCTTGTGGTATTATTCCACCTCATGCTACAGTTGAAATCCCATTAGCTTTGGAAGTCAAGGAAAAAGGCCACCAGGAAACAATGGCCTACATAGCTATCTTTGGGAATGAAGACTTTCCCCTGGTGAGTGGATTGAATGAGCAGGAATAAAGAGGCTTGTATTACATCTTGTATTGCCTACGGTAAGTTCAATAAAGTTCCTCTGCCATAGGAGGACAGGAAAAGGTCGTAATCTATTGGTAATGATAAGCTCATTGGTTTGCTTTATGTGAGAAGATACACTAGAGAAGGAGAAAGAGGCAGATCATTTATTGAGATGGATCCTAGGATCTGCTGTTCTAGTATTTGACACTAGAACGAAGAATGGTTGAAAATGGTACTCCAGATGATCCATAGCAAAATAGTATTATATGGGTGTGTGCCAATGGTTTGGGAATGGTTAAAAATTCCATATGTAAGTGGCTAGATCTGAGTCTAGAATATAGATCTAGGAAAAATCCCTTTTAAAATCTTACAATTAAACGTTTATTTCTAATTTATTCTGGAAATAAATTGGGAATGTGTACTGCATCAGTATGGGACGCGGTGGCTCAGTGGCTAAGGCACTGAGCTTGTTGATCAGATGGTTGGCAGTTCAGCGGTTCAAATCCCTCGCGCCTCATAACGGAGTGAGCTGCCGTTACTTGTCCCAGCTTCTGCCAACCTAGCAGTTCAAAAGCATGTAAAAAATGCAAGTAGAAAAATAGGGACCCCTTTGGTGGGAAGGTATCAATGCTCTGTGTGCCTTTGGTGTTTAGTCAGGCCGGCCACATGACCACAGAGACGTCTTTGGACAGCTCTTCGGCTTAGAAACAGAGATGAGCATCATCCCAGAACCTTTACCTTTACCTTACTGCATCATTCATTTGAGAAACAGAAGTTTTTCCATATAATTTTACTGTTCAAGATATTGAAGCACTTGATATGGACAGAACAAAGATCCTAAGAATGTTTATACTCCCTAGGTTTCAGAAAGGAGGCTGAAATGCAAGCCTCCTCAGGTGCAATAATGTTTGTAGGGATAGAAGGGAAAACCCTCCTAAGCCAGTGCAATACTTCAACTTCAACTCCAACTTCAATACTTCTCTCTGAATGTTTAGTTTGTTGGCTGTTCCTTGGGTGAGAGTTTCTCCTGGGACAGATAGTTATGTTATTGCCATCTGTTCTTGAGTGGGAACTTACTCCGTCAGGAAATCTATCCTCCTCAGAAATAAGGAATCTTATTCAGCCAGCCAGCCAGTCAATTTCGATAGCCACCCAACTCAACAAAGTGACTCTTGGTGGACATTGCCAGAATTTGACTGCCTGCTTCCATTCCTTCAGGGCCCTCCCCTCCTCCTCCCCTGTCCTTACAGTCTATCTTCCGGCTATGGCTTGGAATGGCACAACTCACCATGGCCAAGTTGCTGCAGCTAACTCGCTGCAAACAACTCTGCAGGACAATTCAACAAATACAAAAGTTAAGTTAATTTCAATGGAACCATGGCAATAATAATAAAATAAAGAAAGTCAATCCAGTAATACAAGAGTTACAATAATTTTGAAAAATGTGTAGTCACCAATAATAAAAGTAACTGAATGAAATGATTAATACAGCATTGAATTGTCCTGTGGTGAGTTGATTGTGGTGAGTTATCCGAAACCACCTGTGGCTCCCATCTCATCCATCCAATCCAAAGGAGGAGGCCTAGCATTCAGCATCAATGGACCACCAAGAATCCTCTTCAACTTTTAGTTGTGATCACATACTGCTTAATTAGTCTTCTCTCACTGGACTGCTCAACACCTCATCATTTAAACCTGCACCTCCTCACTGTGAAGGTAGTCTGCTTTACTCTTTAAATCTTTCATGTAAATGTTAACGATCCAACCTCTTCTTACAGAATCCCTTTACTCTCCTCAGCTACCAAGAGAGACCATGAGGAGATGTCTATTCTAATGTCTACAATGTACATAATGTAATGCTCTACCTGACTCCATTGTTACAGCCTCAAACCCTCCAAGCTTCAACCTCAAACTGTCCACCATGGACATCACCACATTCCTAAGAGGTTCTTAAAGGGGGCATGCATAAGCACAGCTGCGTGCCTACCATCCCTATCCTACCGTCCCCATTTATCTGTATTTACTTCCTTTGTTCATGGTTATGTTCATACCTGTACTTGTTATCTTGTACATATTCAATAAACAAACAAACAAAAAACAGAAGCATTGTTCATTTCATTTAGACCGAGTTTGTTGGGACAAAGGGTTTCACCATCTACTATAGGCAGATGGATCAAGACATGTATCACAAAAGTTTATGAAAGCCAATCATTGCAATTGCCGGGTAACATAACTGGACATTCAACCAGGAGTGCAGCCACATCAGCGGCATGGAAGACACAGGCCTCGATTGAAGAGATCTGTAGGGCAGCAACGTGGTCATCACCATCTCCATTCATCAGAAATTATAAACTGGATACATTTGCATCAGTGGAAGCATCCTTTGGAAGAAGAGTGTTACAAAGAGTTCACATGGAGATGGGGGCTCGGGACAAGGAGTTGGCCCACCCTCAAGACAATTAGCTTGGGTACGTCCCACGCTTTGGATTCTCCGACCCGTACAACTGAGAAAGAGCGTTGGGCTTACCTGAAACACATCTTCTAGTTGTAAGGGAGGAGAATCCAAATCCCACCCTTAGATAGTTAGTCCCGAGCTGAGAACGGTCAAGAACGAGCACCAAAGAACTTTCCAAGTCAATCATCAGCCTTCATCAAAAACGGCATGCACAGTGGAAAGGGGGCTGGACTAAACTTTGATTGACTCCGTCTTTAAGCAAGGAAGCAGGAGACATCCACCAGATAAAGCACCAGATAAAACAGCCACCAGATAAAGACTGAATGCACCAATTATCACATTAAACAAGAGGAAAACCTTCTACACACCAATTCCACCCGCGCTTTTTACAATTTTGTAAACAACAAACTAAAAGACTCAAGGTCCATCCCACCCCTGATAGGACCTAATGGTAAAGACTGCAACGATGACACCATTAAAGCCAACATCTTTAACACATTCTTTGGCTCAGTATTTGTAAACAGCAATGGATCATGTCCAGTATTTCCTAGCCGAACCACAGAAAACTACAATGATTAATACATATCAATTTTACAGAAGACGATGTTGAAAAAGCACTATGCAATCTAAAACCATCTCTATCTGTTGGACCGGAGGGAATATGTGCCTACTTCTCAAAAAAGCTATCCACTGCCATAGCATAACCTCTAAGCATAATCTTTGAAAAATCTTTCAGGACCAGCTCCTTGCCTAACCTATGGTCACAAGCCACGGTCATCCCCATCTTCAAAAAGGGAGACCCCAGCCTAGTTGAAAATTACAGACCAATCTCCTTATGCTGCATCACCTGTAAATTCATGGAATCAATTATTAACCAATCTATTATCCTCCACTTAGAGATAATCAACCTACTCTCTAATAAACAATTTGGTTTCAGAAAAAACTATCCTGTAATCTGCAACTCTTACACTGCAAAAACATATGGACTACACAACTCGATCAGGGCAAAACTATTCCTAAAACTAAAATCTTATGGTATCTCTGGACAACTGCATTACTGGATAGAAGCATTCCTGTCAAACAGACAACAAATGGTCAAAATTGGGAGTGTCCTATCAAATTCTGTACCTGTCAATAGTGGTGTCCCCCAAGGCAGTGTTCTAGGACCAACTCTTTTCATACTACATAAATGACCTCTGTGATCACATTAAGAGCAACTGCGTTCTCTTCGCTGATGATGTAAAGCTGTTCAATACCACAGACAATACTGCTACCCTTCAAAAAGATCTTGACTATGGGGAGAGGGGGCGGAGCTGACGTCGTGACGATACTGCATGCAATCTCGGAGGTCTGAGATTGCAGCCAATATCTTTGCCTCTGGACGGTCCCAACAGACCTAAACTGTCCCGAAGAGACGGTGAAAGTGAAGAGCGCATCCTGCCGATCCCAGGGACACCGCAAAGTCCCTGGTTGATCCAGGAGAAGCCCTTCTTGCCAGTGGCAGAGAGGCAGCCATCAAAGCTGCTGAAGTTGGGACAGCTCCGATTGGAAGAGATTGGAAAGAGAAAGTGTGTCGGTTTGGTGAGAACTTTTTTTTTATCATTACTCTAAGACTTAAAGGGACACCCTAAGGAAAAGGAAAAATCTGTAAAAGTTTTGACAGAACAGAATAAGCGGCGGTTTTTAAACGGAAACGTCAAAGTAAGGCTTGGCTTTTTATTTATTTTTTCTTATTACTGGACTTCTATCGCGATTTAACATTTGCTAACTGGACTGGCTTCTTTCTTATTTACATCTATTTTTTCTTCTCTTTTTTGACTTTGCAACATTTTAGGTTAGAGGCTCCCTTTCGTTACTTTTCTTTTTTATATATATACTTTTTCTTTTCTTTAACTTCTATTACGTTTTTCCTGGGAAAGGAGGGGGAAAGTGAGAGTAAAGAAACTTTGTAACACTGCCAACTAGAGGCTTGAAAATATCTTAGACGAAGCTGAGAAAGCTGAGAAAGAAAGATCAGAGACTCCCTTTCAAGGACATTGCAACGTGATAAGATAGAGGGAAGAGCACGGGAGAGTGTTATTGCAGGTGTTCTTCTGGATTTCTATCTACAATTGAAGCTTGGTTTTGAAGTCTGTGGAGAAGAGAGTTATAATAAGAGCCTTGGATTATTAAATAAAGTGCAGTGTGTTCTTTTTATTTTTTTAAGTTGTGCTACCCCTCCTTACCAGCTTTAGTGTACTCTTTTTTTAAAAAAAAACTTTATTTTTGTAATATTTCCATTTTTGCTTTTTATTTTAAAGGGAAAGCCTCAAAAAAAATTATTTTTTTTGCCCCTTCTCCTCTGGGATTTTTTGCTTTTTCCATCCATACTTTTGGTTTATTTTTATGTTTTTATGTTTTTATTTTTGAGACCTTTTAATTGGATTAAGGTGGTGAAGAACCTGAAGAATTTTTTCTCTTTTTCTTTTTTTGTTCTTTTTAAAACTTTTTTGTTTCTTCCCTTCCTTTTCACTTAACTATTGAT